GATGGATGGATGGATGGATGGATGGACAAACTTTTTCAGAACACTGGTAGACGGCAGCCATTACAGACTAACAAGTGTTTGTTGTTGTTCGAGGAGCGGCTCAGTCACACACTAATGTCATTAGTTCATTATCATTACTAAGGTGCAGGACTACTTTCCCCCCTTTTTTTTCCACATCATGTCGCCTGCCTGGATCTGTTTTTATCTCGCTCTGAAGCACTGAGGAGTGTCAGAGGTGAGCTCGTTTCAACTGCTTTTTACGACGCAGTCTCATTTCTGGACTCAGGCATTTTGTGAATGAAGCCGGTATTTCAGTTAAAATACATAAGTAAAAATATTTATCCGAGTATAATACTACCCCCCAACTTTATGGATGATTTTATGGATTAAATTTTTTGTATTATACTTGAATAAATACGGTAATTATGTCACGATTCTTGTAATTTCTGTTGCAGTGCTTTCAGTCCAGATTATCTTTGACCAGTAGGAATGATATGAATGATTGGGACAATTTTGACGCAATATTTCATGGACAGGACGATGCCAGCGATGATGACGTGTATTAGAACACAACAAGAACCGTTAGGGAGCATTAGCTAAGACACAGAGAGAGAAATGTGTCAAATCTGATCTGTAATTTTAGACTTAAATAAAGCATTCTGCGATGGAAATACTTAATTTATTTTACTATTATTTCCCCTCTCTTTGGAAGAATTGAAACCTCTTTACTCACCAAAGGCTGTGTAAAACTCTTCCTTTGTCAGATGCTCGTCGTCGTTSACGTCGTTGTACTTCAGCAGGTCGAACAGCGTGCAGTCTGAGATATCCTTGGAAAAACCTTCATGCTTGATGACCTTCAACAAGAGGGTACAGTATTTCATGAAGTGTTTGTACTGGAATCAGTGAAAACTAAACTCTACTGACAAGAATTATTTGACACTATATCTAAATAAATGAAAAAAAAAAGCACATTTTCGATTTATATTACGACACTGAAAAAAAAAATTCAAATCCAAAGTCTGATTTGAAAATATACGGTACTCATTCAGTGACATATTTAAAAGACGTAGTGTTCAGCTTGAAAAGAATAGGAAAATAACGTTTTTTTGGACAAAAGTAACTCCAGTCATTACCTTTGTCTTACAGCTTTGACATACTGTATAATGCTAAGAATTCATGCTTGATGTAAGTGGCTGGATTATGTCCCTCATTCCTATATTAAAATAAAATAAAATGAATTCAAACTCGTTCATGTAAACAATCAACAACCTCTGCATGGAGACTGAATTGGAAGTGGAATCTCATGGTCACATGACAAGATAAAAAATGTTTATCCAGTGTCTCTGGAATGGCTCCGTAGAAATGTGCTACATGTAACTAAAATTACTAGCTTTTAAATCTAACCTCAAACAGGATGTGGGATTTAAAACCTGCAGTTGAGAGTTTAAAAATACATAATAATTTTTTAATCCTGTCACTCCTAACACAGAAGCTTTAAACACATTCTAGCACAGAACCATCCTTTTCAGCAGGAAGTTTTCTGATGCAAACATTGTAGGCTGGAACTGTGTTTCAGTTTATTAAAACAACTGAACACTACTTTCTTTTAGATTTTTTTTTTACTTTGTAGTACAAACGCAGCTTCTACATACAGCTACTGTGTTTTTATGATGAATTATTCCAACTAATGGCACAACAACAAAACATAAACACAATCGTAAGAATACAGTACAAACAGACTGAATTTAAAACTAACAGTCTGTTGAGAAGCTAATTGGCAACACTGACAAATATGGGCTCCTACATTTAATGTTGAAACTGCTCTAAAAATAAGCTTTCCTTTTACAAACCATAATGATTTGAAAAATCCACTTTGAAAATCTTTTTTATATCATACATGATTGTAGTTAAAAAGCTTCTAAAACAAATTTAGATAGTTTTTACTCTGGAGTTTCTCGAGTTTCTTTAAAGCATTTTTTTCTCCTTTCATTTGGCAATTTTTTAAAATATCAGTAAAATGCCAGGCTCTCACGGTTGTGCTTGCATACAGTTCAACAAACTTTATTTTATTTTATTTATTTTTTTACGGTCTGCTTTAAAAGGTCCAAACACCATGTCTCCGGTTCTTTTGAACTGTTTAGGAGTCAGTGAGAAACTCCTTGAAGTTTCATCACAATGGTGAAAAGGTTTAAAACTTCTTTTTTTTAGCATTGCTCGGCTGAAACATGATCCTGTTCAACACCTCATGTGTGGCCTTTTCAGTCCAACATCCATCAAACAACATCAGCTGTCAGAACCATGATCAGAACAGACAGCTTTATTTATCACGTCTTCCCTTTGAACATGACTTGTTCTAAACTTTGGTTGTTCATGCAAGACAGAAGATCCTAAAACATAACTATTCAAGTAAACTGCTCCAGGGGCCACAGTTACTGCAGGCTGAGGGGCCGAACATCCAGCAATTAAAGTTATTATGTAAACAAACCAAGTATTATAATGATTTTTTACCTTTGAAATTGTTTATTTTGCTTCATTTAATCATGAATACAACATAAATAACCCTATGTAATAAAAGTAGTGATAACTTGAAGCACAAAGAGAGTGCAAACC